TACACCCTGTAAACATGTACACCCAGTAAACATGTACACCCAGTAAACATGTACACCCTGTAAACATGTACACCCTGTAAACATGTACACCCTGTAAACATGTACACCCTGTAAACATGTACACCCTGTAAACATGTACACCCAGTAAACATGTACACCCAGTAGACATGTACATGCAGTAAGCATGTACACCCTGTAGACATGTACACCCAGTAAACATGTACACCCTGTAGACATGTTCACCCTTGTAGACATGTACACCCTTGTAGACATGTACACCATGTAGACATGCACATCCAGTAAACATGTACACCCAGTAAACATGCACACCCTGTAAACATGTACACCCTGTAGACATGTACACCCTGTAGACATGTACACCCAGTAAACATGTACACCCTGTAGACATGTACACCCTGTAGACATGTACACCCTGTAGACATGTACACCATGTAGACATGTAAGCCCTGTAGACATGTACACCCAGTAAACAAGTACACCCAGTAGACATGTAAACCCAGTAGACATGTACACCCAGTAGACATGCACACCCAGTAAACATATACACCCTGTAAACATGTACACCCTGTAGACATGTACACCCTGTAGACATGTACACCCTGTAGACATGTACACCATGTAGACATGTACACCCTGTAGACATGCACACCCTGTAGACATGTACACCTTGTAGATATGTACATACAGTAAACATGTACACCCAGTAAACATGTACACCCAGTAAACATGTACACTTTGTAGACATGTACATACAGTAAACATGTAAGCCCGGTAGACATGTACACCCAGTAAACAAGTACACCCAGTAGACATGTAAACCCAGTAGACATGTACACCCAGTAGACATGCACACCCAGTAAACATATACACCCTGTAAACATGTACACCCTGTAGACATGTACACCCTGTAGACATGTACACCCAGTAGACATGCACACCCAGTAAACATGTACACCCAGTAAACATGTACCCCCAGTAGAACTTTGTTATCTAAATCCACTTCACTTCTGTCTATGTCTTTACAGGTGTACAATGGTACCAAATACCCGTACACGAACCCTGGAGCTCCAGTCCACATCATTACTGGCTCTGCGGTGAGTAGCAGCAGGCTGCTGGTGGCCACTTCTCTTCTTCAATAAATAAATTCTGTAATAAATTTAGACTAAATAACTTTGGATCATATGTGAGCCTTTTAAGTGAATGTTTTGGACATGTTTAGTTTTGACAGTAATAATTATTATTGTAATCCTAATGTTTTTAGCTATGCCATGGCGCAGTGTCCGGCGTCTTGTGTCCGGCAACTTTGTATAAAAATCACTACTAGTCATGAAAGTTAGTCAGAAGCATCCTTGGGGGAAGGGGAACAAATTTGGTATAAATGGTGAGTCTGGCCACCCTGGGGGCTGATCATTAGGGTTAGGGCCCAATAGTGAAAATATAGCAAATTATTTAAAATCCTTTTCTTTCTGTAGGAATGAAAGGATTTGTTCCATATTTGGTCTGAAGCATCCTTAGGTGAAGGGGAACGAATTTTGTATAAACCATGCATCTGGCCCCCCAGGGGCCTGAGGGGTGGGGCCCAATAGCTAGGGGAAACATAGCAAATTCTTTAAAATCCTTCTTCTGTAGGAATGAAAGGATTTGTTCCATATTTGGTCTGAAGCATCCTTAGGTGAAGGGGAACGAATTTTGTATAAACCATGAATCTGGCCCCCCAGGGGCATGAGGGGTGGGGCCCAATAGCTAGGGCAAACATAGCAAATTCTTTAAAATCCTTCTTCAACCATCGGCATTAAGGGATTTTATCCTTATTTAGTCTAGAGCATCCTTAATTTTGCATAATTGGTGAGTATGACCCCCCTAGGGGGATAGGGTGGGGCTCTGACTCTGTTTGAAGTTTGTTCTCGCTATATCTCAAGTGCTGGATGGATCTTTCTGAAATTTCATATGTTATTACAGCACCTACCATGGAGTACTATATCTTTACTTCATACCAATTATTTTTAACATATTCAGGTGAGCGATAAAGGCCCTCTAGGCCTCTTGTTTTTGTAACCTAACTATGTTAACTTGTTGTTAATATGTACTCTAACTTGAGTACAATATGTTTTGATATACAATACCTTGATGATAGATATATTATCTGACAGGGATATTTGATTATTGATATTTTACCTGACAGGGATATTTGAGTATTGATATTTTACCTGACATGGATATTTGAGTATTGATATTTTACCTGACATGGATGTTTGATTATTGATATTTTACCTGACAGGGATGTTTGATTATTGATATTTTACCTGACATGGATGTTTGATTATTAATATTTTACCTGATAGGATGTTTGATTATTGATATTATTTTACTTGACAGGGATGGTTGATTATTGATATTTTACCTGATCGGATGTTTGATTATTGATATTTTACCTGATAGGATGTTTGATTATTGATATTTTACCTGATAGGATGTTTGATTATTGATATTTTACCTGACAGGGATATTTGATCATTGAAATTTTACCTGACAGGGATGGTTGATTATTGATATTTTACCTGATAGGATGTTTGATTATTGATATTATTTTACCTGACAGGGATGGTTGATTATTGATATTATTTTACCTCACAGGGATGTTTGATCATTGAAATTTTACCTGACAGGGATGGTTTATTATTGATATTTTACCTGATAGGATGTTTGATTATTGATATTTTACCTGACAGGGATTGTTGATTATTGATGTTTTACCTGACAGGGATGTTTGATCAATGATTATTGATATTTTACCTGACAGGGATGTTTGACTATTGATATTTTACCTGACAGGGATGTTCGGAGAAACATGACCCCTTTGGTGACACAGAATCTTGGTCAGCCTTCCGCAGTGATGACTATGGATATACCCGCATGAAAGTCTACAACAGTACACACATCTACATTGAGCAGGTCTCGGATGACAAGGTCAGTCTGCAGGCTCTCAAATAGTGCCATTTGGTGGGGGAGGGGGAATAAGAAATAATAATTTTGAGATGTTTTTGACTATTTCTTGGGAAATTGTGTGTGATGTCTATATAATACAAACATCCATACTTACATAGATTTCATGTCTTTGTCTTCAGAATGGTATGATCATTGACAAGCTCTGGTACATCAAGGAAAAGCATGGGAGATTCTACTAGATCTTCATCTTCAAAAAGTTCCTTGACAAGATTCCGATAGATCCTCATCTTCAAAAAGTTCCTGGACAAGATTCCAATAGACCTTCATCTTCTAAAAGTTCCTGGACAAGATTCCGATAGATCTTCATCTTCAAAACGTTTCTGGACAAGATCATTTCTCCGACATGGCTCATGAATAATTCTAATCGATGATATCCTTATTTGGTACTAGTTGTGACAAAATATAGGTCATGTTATTTCTTGGCACAGAAATAGTTTATTGGTGTTTGATTAGCCAATGTATTGCCTGTGATAATCTTGTTATGTTGATAGAGCAGTCTAAAACTACATGTAGAAACACATTTTCTCTGACCCTTGACAGATGTTCCATGATTTTCTGAGATGTCACAATGAAAACAGGTGAATGATATCACTTTTCAACATCAGATGACATTGTGTTGTAGTTGGACACTTTGTGTACAATTCATCTTTTTACATGATAATTCCTTTGTAGATTTTATAAAAATAAAAATTCAAAACTGAGAGGGTAAGTGAAAAGGAATCATTACTCTCAGGGATGACCTAATCTATTTAAAATGAGGAGAAAGTTTCCCGTACATGTAATGTTTATAGATAAAAGTCCTGTTTGAAGTCTAACATATTGTAAACTACTGCCTAATCAGTATATCCCACACAGCAGGAAACAGTAAACTGTTCTCGGGTTGTCATGGTCTATTGTTATGTATGTAGTATGTAAAGAGACCGGCAGATTGGGAACCAAACTTTGATCACATTCTCCTCATCTTTTTAGTATCAAAATGCTTCTCAAAAGTTCTCTTCATCATTGAAGCATCAACATTTTACAAAATTTCACATTTTCGAAAAATTCAATGCCAAAACTTATACTTAATATATTTTAAATTTCATTTTTAACTCTGTCTATTTCAATATATTTTATTATATTAGTCTTTATTCAAAATAGATTATTTGTAAAAAACAATCTTTGTTTATTTGTACTCCCAGAGTAGATGTTCTGTGTGAAGTGGGAGAGCGTGTAGAGAATGTAATTGTGTAATTATTGTGATGGTTTTTAAACAAAGTTATTCTGGTGTACACATTTGCAATGATTGTGTATTGTGTATGTAGTAAATGATGTAATCTCTGCACCCCTCGAGTGTTCAAAGTGATATTCACTGTAGGAACCTTGTTAAGGAATCACATCTGAGATTCATGATACTACATAAGATCCCGGTCTGAAGGGTATTTAAAAGTATGTTATGTATGTAATGTAATTCAATCTACAAATAGACTACCGTTATTATGCCCACGTTTATAACCTCAAAAAGTGTCGGTGACCTGACCCTGGGCTCTTGCCTGGACTTGTGAGTAGACCCATCATGTTATCTTTCATCACTGGGTAAATGTTTTCCAGGTCATAATACATTCTATAAGTAAATGTTATTGAGCAATTTATTTAATTAGTATTACTATCATACTAAAATAGGTGTTTTATAATTAGTGTTACTATCATACTAAAATAGGTGTTTTATAATTAGTATTACTATCATACTAAAATAGGTGTTTTACATGATGGGAACAATTTACCAAAATGTACATGTTGATTGAATAATAGATTGTGGATGTAGAAAGTATGGGTAATATACAATGACCACTAAGCTAGATGTAATTGTACAGTATTTGATGGTGTTTGGTTTACATTGATAGTAAACAGAAATTATATTATACTTGCACAGATTAGCAGGTTGGATCTAACATTTAATCATTGCGACCAATTATTGTTATATTGTGGCAATAGTAGGATCTTAGTTTGATTGTCCAAAACTTTATAGGTAAAATGTGATATCATTATATATTTTAGAATTATATGATTGATGGTTAGGTTCAACCTGTTGATATCAGTGATATTATATACAATATTGCTGTAGAGATTATTGAACTTGTGTGTGTCATTGTGCAGTGTGTTTTTGTGGGTGATCCTATATCGGTATATTTACATTTGCATGGCATTGTCACTGAAAAACCTTCTTGAAATCTATGTTGTTGATGGGACTTTAATGACATGCACAACGAGACACAATCCTTAGCCAATCAGCAAGCGATAATACACCCTTCCAGTTATTGAACAAATTTGTTCAGACTGTTCATAAGGCGGTAATCTTAATTTTTAGATATAATTTTTAAGTTGAAAAAAACCTTTGCAAGCAAACAAATCATAATGTGCTAGCGCGCTTTATGTTGTTTGCTTGCAAAGTTGTCTTTCAAATATATCATAAATGCCATACAAAAACAGTTCAATGCTTAAATAAAAATCATTAACAACTTTAAAATATTAACATATTTAGATTACCTGAAATATGGTTTTATGACTAAATTAAATTTGATTTTTTTTACCAGACCCATCTTTCCAGGTTATTCTGTTTCAGTAATTAAGTAAAATGTAGGATTACCTCCCCTCAGTTGAGATCGTCTTTTCTTATTTGTCATGTTTTATTTCCTAAATGACTCGTGTTATAATGTATAGACAAGTTATTACTCTTATATTGATACAAATAGATATGTGACATACTTAAAAAAAAAAATGTTATATTTTGTATGGATTAAAAGAGATATATTTTAAATGTTATGGTTTGTAAGCTCACCTGGCCCAAATGGTGTCAATATTTTACTTTAAACAACTTCTTCTGAATAACCAAGAGGCCCAGGGTACTGATATTGGGCCTGTAGCATGCTGGGATGAAGGGCTACCAAGTTTGTTAAAATGAATTACCTTGACCCACTTTCAAGGTCACAGGGTCAAATGTCGTAAAATCTTCAAACGACTTCTTCTCAATAACCAATAGGCCAGGGGTACTGATATTTGGCCTGTAGCATGCTGGGATGAAGGGCTACCAAGTTTGTTCAAATGAATGACCTTTACCTACTTTCAAGGTCACAGGGGTTAAATATGTTAAAAACTTTAAACAACTTCTCCTGAATAACCAAAAGTCGCAGGATGATGATATTTGGCCAGTAGCATGCTGGGATAAAGGGCTACCAAGTTTGTTCAAATGAATGACCTTGACCAACTTTGAAGTTCACAGGGGTCAAATGACTTAAAATCTTCAAACCACTTCTTCTTAATAACCAAAAAGCCCAGGGTACTGATATTGGGCCTGTAGCATGCAGGGATGAATGACCTTGACTCACTATCAAGGTCACTGGGGTCAGATGTCTTAAAATCTTCAAACGACTTCTTCTCAATAACCAATAGGCCAGGGGTACTGATATTTGGCCTGTAGCATGCTGGGATGAAGGGCTACCAAGTTTTTCAAATGAATGACCTTTACCGACTTTCAACCTAATGTCCTAAGTTCTTGTGAATCAAACACTGAAATTCTGCCTGTAGCTGTATTTTAGTCCACTTTTAAGATTACAAGTGTGAGATTAATACCAGGTGAGCGATGCAGGCCAATTGGGCCTCTTGTTAAGAAGAAGTTGTTTAAAGTAAAATATTGACGCCGGACAGCAGAAGGACGGACGGACGACGGCCACACCATGGCATAAGCTCACTTGGCCCTTCGGGCCAGTTAAGCTAATAACCAAAAGACCCAGGGTACTGATATTGGGCCTGTAGCATGCTTGGATGAAAGACTACCAAGTTTGTTCAAATGAATGACCTTGACCCACTTTCAACCTAATGTCCTTGATCGACATTCAAGGACACAGGTGTCATATGTTTAAATCTTTTAATAAGTTCTTGTGAATCAAACACTGATATTCTGCCTGTAGCTGTATTTTAGTCCACTTTTAAGATTACAAGTGTGAGATTAATACCAGGTGAGCGATGCAGTTCCATTGGGCCTCTTGTTGTATGTTAATTTTGCACTTTAATGACATGCTAGTTATGTACTTAGTACAGAAACTTAATATTCCTAGATCACGATTGGTAGTACAGCCATTATTTGTATAGAATAACAATCTTGTAATCAGAACCATATTTTAGTTTTTAGGTCACCTGAGCTTTTGCTCAAGTGACCTATTCTAATTGCTTTATGTCTGTCGTCCGTAAACTTTTTACATTTTCAACTTCTTCTCAAGAACCAGTGGATGGATTTTTTTTTCAAACTTGGTCAGAATCATCCTTGGTAGATGAGGCTACAAAATTGTAAAATTGGGATTCCTACCCCAACCCCTGGGGCCAGGGCAGGGCCCCAAAGGGAAAATTAACCAATATTTCAAAAATCTTCTTCTCCAGACTCGGAGGTACTACATTCAATTTCAGTGCATAAAAAGAAAGATCATCAGGGGCTTCATTTAAATTGTAAATTTCAGGACCCCCGAGCTATCCGTTCTCCCTTAGGGAGGGGGCAAAGTTTACTACAGTTTATATAGGGAAATAACACTTTTGGGTATATTTAATCCATTTTCAGCAGAAAATTACTCAAACTTATTCAGAATCATCTTTGGTGAATGAGGGTATTACATTGTAAAATTAGGATTCCTGCCCGATCCCCAGGGGCTAGGGCGGGGCCCCAAAGGGAACATTTACCAATATTTTAAAATTCTTATCCTTTAATGACATGACAAGTATTGTATTTCACTTAGTTTACACATCACATCTAAGCAAAAAGATAAAGCTACCAGTACCTATAATATAACTCAGGTGAGCGCTAAGGCCCTTGGGCCTCTTGTTACTTTTTCACTGTAGTTGGCCGAATCATGTCAGCACGTAGGATGTAAATAAAACATTACATTTTGTACAAGATTCAGTGGTGTTGTTGCTCATCGTTTCTATTTTCATTTGCTCTGCTTTCCCTGATGAGCACTGTTGAACACCAGTAAGGTATCCCAGGATCCCTACCGTGGCCACTAGGGAACTGACTTCCTTACAGGGACGTTGGGTCTCCACCCCCCTGTTGTTACTAATTTTCAGCATTTGTTAACTAATAACAATAACATTTGTGAGACATTTTAATAACCAAAAGATGTGAAAAGAAATCCACACAATAATTGGTATCTATACTATACATTTATCTTTCACTATATACATATATGTAAATAATGGGTCTTCTGCCTACTATATTTTCGTGAAAACTAGGCCAAGTGGTTAACACTGTTGCTTCCCACATAGAAAGTCCAAATTGTATACCTGTAGTATAGATTTCAGAAAAAGTATTCTTCTACTGCCCACACAACTTCAATCAGCGAAGTGGGGGTACCCAGGGTGCTACAGCTATAGCATTGAAGTCAGTATATAGGGCCTTTGGACAAAAGGTACCACTGGAAGTACAACCCATCGCAGAACAAAACACTTATGACTAATACGCCTTCGGTACGCTGGCATCCTGAAAGGAATTCGAAAACAAAATTTGGACATTGTAGATGACAAGAGTATATGAGGTATGCCCCAGCTGTGATGCAAAGTGACAATTGTATATAATAGAGCAAAAGACTTGATTTCAGTCTACCATTCCTGGAGGTCCTGACATACAAAATTTGACAACTGTGTAGGTACAGAGATTTTGTGATGCTCCAAATATGTGACACATAGTCCCCTTTATAAGTGTTATTGGTGAAGTTTTTAACACCGATATCTCTAAGTCAGTTCATGAATATTCAACATTGACATTTCATGTACTCAAATGAGGTTCCAAGACCAAAACCATGGAGGTGATTTTCCAGTTCACTTCCTTTTTTCTGAGAAGAAATGTTCTAATCCATATTTCAGGTTAGGAATAATTATTTTGTCCATATCTTGGTACCTATCAATGTTACATGGATTATACTTCCATCAATCATGCAGCCGGAAGTTGTTCTTCTTAATGGACATTGTGGATACTGCAAGATGATGATAAAAATTATAAACAAAAACACCAACTGATTATTCCATTTAATATTTAATAAATGTTTATGTACACAGAAGTAGTGAGACACGTCATAAATCAACATACCGGGCTAAAACGGTCATACATTAAGTAATAATCCATTCATAAACAAAACATACAATAATAAATACATCTTCGCACAATATCACCCAATGAAAATGTGAGATCACTCGACAAATCTTATCAGATAACGTTACAGGGAGGTTTATATAAGATAACTTTACAGGGAGGTTTATATCGGATAACGTTACAGGGAGGTTTATATCAGATAACGTTACAGGGAGGTTTATATAAGATAACTTTACAGGGAGGTTTATATCGGATAACGTTACAGGTAGATTTATATAAGATAACATTACAGGGAGGTTTGTAAAAGATAACGTTACAGGGAGGTTTATATAAGATAACGTTACAGGGAGGTTTATATCAGATAATGTTACACGGAAGGTTTATATAAGATAACGTTACAGGGAGGTTTATATCGGATAACGTTACAGGGAGGTTTATATCGGATAACGTTACAGGTAGATTTATATAAGATCACATTACAGGGAGGTTTGTAACAGATAACGTTACAGGGAGGTTTATATCCGATAACGTTACAGGGAGATTTATATCAGATAACGTTACAGGAAGTTTTATATAAGATAATGTTACAGGGAGGTTTATATAAGATAATGTTACAGGGAGGTTTATATAAGATAACGTTACAGGGAGGTTTATATAAGATAACATTACAGGGAGGTTTGTAAAAGATAACGTTACAGGGAGGATTATATAAGATAACGTTACAGGGAGGTTTATATCAGATAACGTTACAGGGAGGTTTATATAAGATAACGTTACAGGGAGGTTTATATAAGATAACGTTTCAGGAAGGTTTATATCCGATAACGTTACAGGGAGGTTTATATCCGATAACGTTACAGGGAGGTTTATATCAGATAACGTTACAGGGAGGTTTATATCAGATAACGTTACAGGGAGGTTTATATCAGATAACGTTACAGGGAGGTTTATATCAGATAACGTTACAGGGAGGTTTATATCAGATAACGTTACAGGGAGGTTTATATCAGATAACGTTACAGGGAGGTTTATATCAGATAACGTTACAGGGAGGTTTATATCAGATAACGTTACAGGGAGGTTTATATCAGATAACGTTACAGGGAGGTTTATATCAGATAACGTTACAGGGAGGTTTATATCGGGTGCTTGGTTACTTACATATTACACGGTACAGTATGTAACACATGAATGCCCTTTGCCACAGAAAATGTATCTCACTGTTTAACAATTTTCTATGAATAGTAACGGTAACCTTGACCTTGTCAATAGTCTTTTCAAAATGGCAGCCATGGAGGCCATAAGTTGATCATTCATACAACTATCCAGTTAAATCAGCTCAATAGAACTTTATCTTAAGTTTGAAATAGTTTTCCAAAATGGTGGCCGTGGTGGACATGTTATTTTTTCGGGTCACTTAGTGAGGACCATAAGTCAATCATTCCTACCAAGTTGCAGTTAAATTCGCCCATTAGAACATGCATTTAAAAAGTTTAAATAGTGTTTTTCTTCAAAATGGTGCCATTTTGGATTTTTTGATCAACCCGAAAAATAACACTTTGTTAGGGCCATGAATCGTTCATTCCCAAAAGGTTTCAGTTAAATCAGCCCAGTAAAACTTTACTTTGAGTTTGAAATAGTTTTTCAAAATGGCGGCTGTCGTGGCCATTTTAAATTTCTGATCGACCCGAAAAAAATCAACACTTGGTCAGGGAGTAGTCAGTAACATTCCCATGAAGTATCAATGAAATCCCTTTGACAGTATTTCAGCTTAAGTTGAAAATGTCAAATGTAAACGCACTACGACGGACGAAGGCGGATAGCAATAGGTCACTTGAGCTAAAAATCCGATGAAATGGGAACAAGTTGGAGATTTTTTTATCATGTACACATGCATACACGATTACACATTATATTACAGTTAGACTGAAGAAATCAAAGGACCAAGGTTTTTCCTTTGACATCATAGTCTTCCTTGTGATGTCACAATGGGTGGGTAATATTACATGTTACATAACAAAAGTTGATGTTAAGGTGATATTATGATTTTTAACAGTTAACGTAATGTGTTCTTGGCTTAGACAGGACAGGCAGTAATCAAACAGATGAGTAATCGGAACCATGGTAGTGACAAAGATGCTGGTCATCATTAAGACAGGAAAGGCTGACCATTCAATGAAATACACTGCATCATAAAATAAGGATGAAGACTGATAAACATGCATGCATGTTAATCAAGACGGCATTTCAAAGAGCATTAAGTTATCAACCAGTGTTTCACAGTACAAAGAACCATGAGTATTTCTGATTTAAGTCCTAGCAATGATTTATAAGCACGAGTTTTATGTAAACCTTCCATTATCTATAACAGGATTTATCTTTAAGGACATATTAAACTTGTATTCAGTAGGTTCATAAGGTTTTTACAGTCCTTAAAAATACATACATGCAAAAAAAAACCAGATAATATTTAAAATACTAAATTTGGAAAAGAAGTGATCTTTGTTATTGAATCATTTTCATTTTCCATAAATTGTACATGTACCAGAGTGATCTCCCCTTACATGTTACCAAGTACATTTATTTCAAAGTTAAACCTGTCGTCACAGATTAAAACCTGCATGAATACAAAAAATGTGAGAAGCTAGGGCTCCATCAGGTACACAAACAAAATGGTCCTAGGTGAAGGACCATGTACAAAAGGATAAAATAATTCAAGATTCTTAGCTAAGACGTGGGAACAAAGTGGTACTGGGTGTTTAACCAGTACACAACATAATAATACAAGAACGAACTCCATCCAGCTGTACACGGAGGCAAAGTGATCATAAGACTCTATACAGTACAAAGGATGAAGTCACCTTAGGCACCTACAAAGTATAAAGGGACAAAGGGGATTCTACGGTTCCACCTGAGTGACAGTACTGGCTAGGAATTTGCCCATGCCACCATACTTACTAACTAAAACAAAACCTAAGCCACACAGGAGTGTGTACCACCTCACTACTGGGGCATATAGTAAAAATATGGTGGCTGCTACTTGGAAAATATTCCAGAATATAAGTGAGAAAGTGAACAGGTGCTGTACATAGTCTTCCCTTCGCTGCCTAGCAGGATCAACAAGAGGCTCTGAGAACCGTCGGTCACCAAGGTAAAACTTCTTCAGTTGCTCTTCCTTCTGTTGCCAGCGGTCACGGCACCACTTGTCCATACCATCCTTGTCGAGAGGCACGTCCACATCACTGTAGAGCTTAACATTGAAGTGGACCTCGGAGGGAAACTTACCCTGGAGGATATCTTTTTCATTCTGCGGGATGAATTTAGGGTAGGCGACCGCCACATCTAGTACAGAATCCAACAGGTTATCTACAATGAATTCAGGGCGCTACTGTACAAGTTATAATTACTTATATACATGTTTAGTTGGTAAAAAAATCCTAAAAATAAAAGTAAAGTAGACTTGTGGATTGACATATTTACAATCTCCGCTGTAATAAATAACACTGTGCTTGGTGTCCACTGTAATAAATAACACTGCTTTTCCATTAGAATAAATACTGCAATACCATAACCTGGGATGTGACCAGATTCTGTGGCCGCAGCATCAGTCACATGTTGGAGGAGTTTACATGAGATTTGTTTACTTCAACAATTTATATTATGTAAAAAAAAAAAATGTGGCCAGGGTTACAGAATCAAAGTCAATTCTAGGCTATTTCTTTAACTCATCAACTATGTGTCAATATCTTTGTCAGAAATATGTTTTTCAATGTATAAAATACTCGTAACAATAAATTTATCACATATAACAATGTATGAATAACTAGATCACTCTCCATGTAAAAATATATCACTATACAGCTACATAACTATACATGTACATGTATATATCCTTTTATCTATATATAACTATATAGCTATGTAGCTATATAACTATATAGCTATATAACTATATCACCATATAGCTATATAACTATATCACCATATAGCTATATAACTATATCACCATGTAGCTATATTACCATGTGGTTATATAACTATATCACCATATTGTTATATAACTATATCACCATGTGGTTATATCACCATGAAGCTATATAACTATATCACCATGTAGCTATATAACTATATCATCATATAGCTATATAACTATATCACCACATAGCTATATAGCTATATAACTATATCACCATATAGCTATATAACTATATCACCAAATAGCTATATAAATATATATATATATATCTAATATAACCATATAGCTATATAACTATATCACCATATAGCTATATAACTATATCACCATATAGCTATATAACTATATCACCAAGTAGCTATATTACCATGTGGTTATATAACTATATCACCATATTGTTATATAACTATATCACCATGTGGTTATATCACCATGAAGCTATATAACTATATCACCATGTAGCTATATAACTATATCATCATATAGCTATATAACTATATCACCATATTGCTATATAACTATATCACCATATAGCTATATAACTATATCCTCATATAGATATATAACTATATCACCATATAGCTATTTAACTATATCACCATGTAGCTATATAACTATATCACCATGTAGCTATATAACTATATCACCATATTGTTATATAACTATATCATCATGAAGCTATATAACTATATCACCCGATGATATAGCTATATAACTATATCCCCATATAGATATATAACTATACTCCAATATAGCTATATAACTATATCACCATATAGCTATATAACTATATCACCATATAGCTATATAACCATATCATCATATAGCTATATAACTATATCCCCATATAGCTATATAACTATATCACCATATAGCTATATAACCATATCATCATATAGCTATATAACTATATCCCCATATAGCTGTATAACTATATCACCATATAGTTATATGACTATATCACCATGTAGTTATATGACTATATCACCATATAGCTATATAACCATATCATCATATAGCTATATAACTATATCCCCATATAGCTGTATAACTATATCACTATATAGGTATACATTGTATTACTATATTACCGGAAAGCTATAAAACTCTTATCCTTACAGAACTATATAACCATATAGCTATATAACTATATCACCATATAGCTATTTAACTATATCACCATGTAGTTATATGACTATATCACCATGTTGTTATATGACTATATCACCATATAGCTATATAACCATATCATCATATAGCTATATAACTATATCCCCATATAGCTGTATAACTATATCACTATATAGGTATACATTGTATTACTATATTACCGGAAAGCTATACAATTCTTATCCTTACAGAACTATATAACCATATAGTTATATAACTATATCACCACATAGCTATTTAACTATATCACCATGTAGTTATATGACTATATCACCATATAGCTATTTAACTATATCACCATATAGCTATATAACTATATCACCATATAGCTATATGACTATATCACCATGTTGTTATATGACTATATCACCATATAGCTATATAACCATATCATCATATAGCTATACAACTATATCACCATAAAGCTATATAACTATATCACCATATAGCTATTTAACTATATCACCATATAGCTATATAACTATATCCCCATATAGATATATAACTATATCACCATATAGCTTATAATTATATTACTATATAGCTATATAACTATATCACCATATAACTATATCACCATATAGCTATATAACTATATCACCATGAAGCTATATATCTGCATATCCCTGCTGTATAAACATAATTATATTAGCCAGGAGAAGAACTTACATTCCCTCATTTTCTCCATAAGGAAGACAAAGCCAGCGGTACGTGGGTGGAGGACGTAGTCGTACTTCTCCAGGTCATTGTCCTTCGCATACTTGTCACTCCTCTTCATGGTGTTAGGAGTTAAGTCAGTACCCTCGGGGAACAGCAATACCTGGGGAGGTAAACATAAGTGATCAATGCACTGCTGTCCTTAGCAATAGATGGGGAGGTAAACATAAGTGATCAATGCACTGCTGTCCTTAGCAATAGATGGGGAGGTAAACATAAGTGATCAATGCACTGCTGTCCTTAGCAATAGCTGGGGAGGTAAACATAGGTGATTTTTAGCAATAGCTGGGGAGGTAAACATAAGTGATCAATGCACTGCTGTCCTTAGCAATAGCTGGGGAGGTAAACATAGGTGATTTTTAGCAATAGCTGGGGAGGGAAACATAAGTGATCAATGCACTGCTGTCCTTAGCATAAGTGATCAATGTACTGCTGTCCTTAGCAATAGATGAGGAGGTAAACATAAGTGATCAATGCACTGCTGTTCCTCAGCATACCTTTCTGGAGTCTTATCAGCTGTCCTTAGCAATAGATGGGGAGGTAAACATAAGTAATCAATGCACTGCTGTCCTTAGCAATAGATGGGGGAGGTAAACATAAGTGGTCAATGCACTGCTGTCCTTAGCAATAGATGGGGGAGGTAAACATAAGTGGTCAATGCACTGCTGTCCTTAGCAATAGCTGGGGAGGTAAACATAGGTGATCTTCAGCAATAGCTGGGGAGGTAAACATAAGTGATCAATGTACTGCTGTTCTTAGCAATAGATGGGGAGGTAAACATAAGTGATTAATGCACTGCTGTCCTTAGCAATAGATGGGGAGGGAAACATAAGTGATCAATGCACTGCTGTCCTTAGCATAAGTGATCAATGTAGGTAAACATAAGTAATCAATGCACTGCTGTCCTTAGCAATAGATGGGGGAGGTAAACATAAGTGGTCAATGCACTGCTGTCCTTAGCAATAGCTGGGGAGGTAAACATAGGTGATTTTTAGCAATAGCTGGGGAGGAAAACATAAGTGATCAATGCACTGCTGTCCTTAGCAATAGCTGTGGAGGTAAACATAGGTGATTTTTAGCAATAGCTGGGGAGGAAAACATAAGTGATCAATGCACTGCTGTCCTTAGCATAAGTGATCAATGTACTGCTGTCCTTAGCAATAGATGGGAAGGTAAACATAAGTGATCAATGTACTGCTGTCCTTAGCAATAGATGGGAAGGTAAACATAAGTGATCAATGTACTGCTGTCCTTAGCAATAGATGGGGAGGTAAACAAGTGATCAATGCACTGCTGTTCTTAGCAATAGATGGGGAGGTAAACAAGTGATCAATGCACTGCTGTTCTTAGCAATAGATGGGGAGGTAAACATAAGTGATACTGCTGTCCTTAGCAATAGCTGGGGAGGTAAACATAGGTGATTTTTAGCAATAGCTGGGGAGGTAAACATAAGGGATCAATGCACTGCTGTCCTTAGCAATAGATGGTGAGGTAAACATAAGTGATCAATGCACTGCTGTCCTTAGCATAAGTGATCAATGTAGGTAAACATAAGTAATCAATGCACTGCTGTCCTTAGCAATAGATGGGGAGCTAAACATAAGTGATTAATGCACTGCTGTCCTTAGCAATAGATGGGGAGGAAAACATAAGTGATCAATGTACTGCTGTCCTTAGCAATAGATGGGAATGTAAACATAAGTGATCAATGCACTGCTGTCCTTAGCATAAGTGATCAATGTACTGCTGTCCTTAGCAATAGATGAGGAGGTAAACATAAGTGATCAATGCACTGCTGTCCTTAGCAATAGCTGGGGAGGTAAACATAGGTGATCTTCAGCAATAGCTGGGGAGGTAAACATAAGTGATCAATGTACTGCTGTTCTTAGCAATAGATGGGGAGGTAAACAAGTGATCAATGCACTGCTGTCCTTAGCAATAGCTGTGGAGGTAAACATAGGTGATTTTTAGCAATAGCTGGGGAGGTAAACATAAGTGATCAATGCCCTGCTGTCCTTAGCAATAGATGGGGAGGTAAACATAAGTGATACTGCTGTCCTTAGCAATAGCTGGGGAGGTAAACATAGGTGATCTTCAGCAATAGATGGGGAGGTAAACATAAGTGATCAATGCACTGCTGTTCCTCAGCATACCTTTCTGGAGTCTTATCAGGTCAAGGTAAAGGTCAAGGTCGATATATAACATGGAAGAATGATAAGAAAAATGAATTTATACATTATGTACAAAGTTGTTCTGTCGATGAATTAAATCGTATAAATGATGCACTTAATGTTTTGTCTGACAAAACTTCTGTCAGTCAGTCTGAAGTAAATGATGTAGTTAATTATATTTCTGAGTTGTTCCGAATTTCAGCTACCTATACTTTCGGATTAAAACAAAAGTATAGAACACTAGATACACATAAAGTTGCTAATGATAAGCCATGGTTTACAGCTGACTGTCACAGCGTGCCATTTTTGATGCAAAACATAAATATGAATATCATAGAACCAGTAGTAACCAAGTTAACAAAACCTCTAGAGACTATAAAAAGGTCCTTTAATAGAGCTATAACACATAGACATAACATTGAAAATCAAATACGAATCACGTCTAAATAAAATCCTAAAGATTTTTGGAATATTTTAAATTCATTCAATAAATCTAAAAATGATAACAGTGATATTGATATATCTTTGGACGAGTTATATGAATACTTCAAGAAATTAAATAGCTCTGATGGAGATGAGGATGAGGATGAGTTTATTATTCCACATATGAATGAAAATATGTTTGATTGTATACTAAAATAGTGATGTGATAGACAGGCTATAGTTAACCTTCGTAATAATAAAGCGCCGGGTATCGATAATATATGAAATGAGCATATAAAAAATACACAGTCTATACAACTACCTATATATGTTAAACTTTTTAATGTTATATTGAACAATTGGAGTAATAAAACCTATATACAAAAAGAAGGGTGACCCTAAAAATCTCGATAACTATCGAGCTATTACATTAGTCTCATGTCTTGGCAAAGTATTTACTGCTATTTTGAACTCTAGATTAAACAGACTTTCAGGAGAAATTGATCTAATTTCCAATGTTGAAGCTTGTTTTAGGAAAGGATACTCTACAACTGAAAATATATTTATCCTTCATGCTTTAATATCTATATACTTTTCAAAAAGTAAAAAGCTATTCTGTTCATTCATTGACTTCAGAAAAGCGTTTGATACTGTTTGGAGGGGAGGTTTATGGAAGAAATTATTAAAGAATAATATCACAGGAAAGATAGTCAATGTTATAATTAATCTGTATGCAAACACTAAATCTTGCGTAAAAACTAGCAATGGTATGACTGATTTTTTCACATGTCACGTCGGGGTAAAACAAGGTGAAAATCTCTCCCCATTTTTGTTCTCCATATATTTAAATGATTTAGAAGAATTCTTCATGCAAAGTAATGTTGACCAACTCCATTGTATTGATAATTTATTTCAAGAATGCATGGGTATATTTGTTAAATTATTTATTCTGCTATATGCAGATGACACAGTTGTTATGTCAGAAACAGCTAAAGGTCTACAGAATGCTTTCCGTGAATTTGAAACTTACTGTACTATTTGGAAACTTAAAGTTAATCTCAATAAAGCTAAAGTTGTTATCTTTGAAAAAAGAAAAAGTAATGGACAAAATATTTGTTTTACTCTTTTTGGTGAAGACACATGACAGTTACTCGTTTCTAGGACTGCTGTTTCATTATAATGGCAGTTTATGTAAAGCAAGAAAAAAACTTGTTGAACAGGCTCAAAAAGCAATGTATGCATTATATAAAAGAAATAAGAAATATTATTTTACCAATTGACTTACAATTAAAATTGTTTGATGTATTGATATCCTCAATCCTTTTGTACTCCTCAGAAATTTGGGGGTTTGAAAATACCAATATGATTGAGAAATTACATGTACAGTTTTGTAAAAGAATTTTAAACAAAAGTAGCTCCCCAGCAAATATAATGGTATATGGTGAAACGGGTAGGTACCCTCTGAATATTGAAATCAAATCTAGAATGATAATGTTTTGGTATAAACTAATTACAGAAGAAAATAAATTGTCTAGTATAATGTATACTGTACAAGCCTATGCTGAATTTAAATGGATTTCATATATCAAGAATCTATTCAATTGCACGGGACTAAGTTACGTATGGTTACAACAAAAAACTTGCACTATGAATAAAAATTACCTTAGGGTTAGTTTTAAAACTATTCTCTATGACCAATTTATACAACAATGGTATACTGATATTGAAAATTCTTCCCGGGGTCAAACATATGCAATATTTAAACATCAATTTCAGTTTGAAATACTTAACTATGCTCAAACAAAAAGATAGAATAACTATCTGTAAGTTCAGAACCAGTAATATATCTCTGCCAATATATTGTAGAGACTGGGCGATGGACTAGAACACAACGTGAAGACAGAATCTGTCCACTTTGTTTTACTGGAGTTGGAAGCGAGTATCANGTTCATACAATCACTAGAAAGACAATTAAAAAATAATATGTGAATTTCACACATCAAACTGTAAACTTTTGTATACATTTAGATATTACTGATCATTTTGTTAAACCTAACATAATTGTATTGTATAATGAGTGTGGTTACAGCTTGCTTATCATGGTTTGTCTGTCTATTACAGTATTGTATGATGGGATTGTAACACTGTCTATTATACCTTTGTAATATTATATGGTATGATGAGTATTATAGTCACTATTATGCCATGGTATGATTGCACTGTATGGTGTGGTATACTATCTATAATACATGTTTCATGGAGTGCGAGTAATATATGTGTAATACTGTAATAATATTATTGTAGGATTGTACTGTAAGATGGATGCAACAGTGCCTGCAATACCACTGTGTGAACGCACGGTATGGGTGAATGTAATGCTATTTATTATACAATCGTAATAGTATTGTAAAATGAGTGTAATAATGTATATCACAGTGTATGATGAGTGTCATTGTATGAGCAGTGTGTTCTATTATAATAAGGTATGATAGTACGTATGAACAGTGTAATAGTGTGTTTATCATTGTATGAGAAGTGTAATAGTTTCCAATATATTATTGTACGCTAGCATAGTAAGATGGGTGCTTTACGGTCAACCATATCATTGTTATATTGGACTTTATGATGACCTCTTGTTGCGCACAATAGTGTGCCTGAGTGATAATAAAAATCTCTGAAATCACTCCAGTGGGGTGGAGCCATAATACCTCTTTGATACAAATTCTGGTGCAATTCAGATTAACTCTACTCTAAGTATGTGAATAGTACAGTGTCTTCTCTTGTACATTGTAGCATATTAGTGAATTCCAAAGGAGCATGGACAGCATGGCAGACACTTAGCTATTAATTTATTTAAGACTAATCAACAAGTTTTTGTTCATTTTTGAGCCATTATCAGAATTGAATCTGGGGAGTCTCATTCTCTCAACGTTATGCCATATGAAATCTTGTCTCCTTCTGAAAAAAATTGGTCTTGTATAATGAGCCATGTGGATTCTGTCAAACTTTGTTCATCGACTAACAGATAGTGATTGATCATCAGTACTGTCAACCAGTATTTAATATAGCTAGGGGACATTGGTAATAAAGGTGGAAACATGGAACACACATGGTGCTGGAGCTAACATTTATACACCAACAGCACTATAAACATGGTATACTTTATATGACACTAGTCTTTATAAGATTGTGTTTAAATCAATCATCAGTCCTACCTGTGGTTTGTGTTTGACCTTGTTGAAGTAGGATATACATCTAGTCATGATTTTCTGATCTATTTCCCATTTTCTGTGTAGGAATATATAGCCTGCACTCTGCATTGCCCAACCTGAAATAAAACATACACAGATCATGCCAGTTGCCAACAAAAGTAGCCTGCTACAAGTTCATCAACTCGGAACCAACTATTGTTTTCAGAATGATCAATATGTACATGTATCTAGGTCAACAGTATAGCATGTGAGCATATAACTGGCTGTTCTTTTCAAGACAACCACCAATTTCGAAACATAATGAGAACACTGTAACTGTCAAAGAAAACCATGAGCTGTAAATTTTGAGGCTCACAAACAATCCACAAAACTTTTTTATACATATATTAATGAACATTAGTGGCAATGAACATTTCTTTTGTCAACATGTATACACAACCTATATATAGCTCAAACTACATGTATATACAACCTATATCTAGCTCCATCTACATGTATACACAACCTATATATAGCTCCATAAACATGTATATACAACCTATCTATAGCTCCATCTACATGTATTTACAACCTATATATAGCTCCAACGACATGTATATACAACCTGTATATTGCTCCCTCTACATGTATATACAACCTATCTATAGCTCCATCTACATGTATATACACCCTATATATCGCACCATCTAGATGAATATACAAGTATATATAGATCCATCACCATATATAAACAACCTATATATAGCTCCATAAACATGTATATACAACCTATCTATAGCTCCATCTACATGTACATACAACCTATATATAGCTCCAACTTCATGTATATACAACCTATATCTAGCTCCATCTACATGTATTTACAACCTATATATAGCTCCAACTTCATGTATATACAACCTATATCTAGCTCCATCTACATGTATCTATTCAACCTATATATAGCTCCAACTTCATGTATATACAACCTATATCTAGCTCCATCTACATGTATCTATTCAACCTATATATAGCTCCAACTTCATGTATATACAACCTATATCTAGCTCCATCTACATGTATCTATTCAACCTATATATAGCTCCATAAACATGTATATACAACCTATCTATAGCTCCATCTACATGTATATACACCTATATATAGCTCCATCTACAAATATACAACCTATATATAGCCCCATCTACATGTATATACAACATATATATAGCTCCATCTACAAATATACAACCTATATATAGCCCCATCTACATGTATATACACCCTATATATCGCACCATCTAGATGAATATACAAGTATATATAGATCCATCACCATATATAAACAACCTATATATAGCTCCCACTACATGTATATACAACCCATATATAGCTCCAACTACATGCATATACAAACTATATATAGCTCCAACTCCATGTACACACAACCTTTATATAGCTCCATCTACATGGATATACAACCTATATATAGCTCCATAAACATGTATATACAACCTATATCTAGCTCCATCTACATGTATCTATTCAACCTATATATAGCTCCAACGACATGTATATACAACCTGTATATAGCTCCAGCTACATGTATATACAACCTATATCTAGCTCCATCTACATGTATATACAACCCATATATAGCTCCAACTACATGCATATACAAACTATATATAGCTCCAACTCCATGTACACACAACCTTTATATAGCTCCATCTACATGGATATACAACCTATATATAGCCCCATCTACATGTATATACACCTATATATAGCTCCATCGACATTTATATACAACCTATATATAGCCCCATCTACATGTATATACACCCTATATATCGCACCATCTAGATGAATATACAAGTATATATAGATCCATCACCATATATAAACAACCTATATATAGCTCCAACTTCATGTATATACAACCTATATCTAGCTCCATCTACATGTATCTATTCAACCTATATATAGCTCCATAAACATGTATATACAACCTATATCTAGCTCCATCTACATGTATCTATTCAACCTATATATAGCTCCATGTACATGTATATACAACCTATATCTAGCTCCATCTACATGTATAATACAGTCATATGTCCACTAAGTCATGAGGACCTGCGAAATATTTACCTGGGCCTGGAACATTCTTTAGACTTTTCTTGAGACTGATTTTAAAATGTCTCAGGGAGCCACAACGTAGTTGATAAGACATCATGAACAGCCAATCAAATCGTGTTCGGTGATTCATCAGAATGAGTCCACTTTCTTGTTCTGGCATGGGTTGTCCTGTGATAACAATCCTCACGCCACAGACCTTTTCAACTACAGCCTGAAATGACACCAATGCAACCTTCTATGCAATTTCATAAAAACGTTCAACTATTAAATGTACTACTCTACATGTATCTAGGTCAACAGTATAGCATGTGAGCATATAACTGACTGTTCTTTTCAAGACAACCACCAATTTCGAAACATAATGAGAACACTGTAACTGTCAAAGAAAGCCATGAGCTGTAAATTTTGGGGCTCACAAACAATCCACAAAACTTTTTTATACCTATATTAATGAACATTAGTGGCAATGAACATTTCTTTTGTCATCATGTATACACAACCTATATATAGCACAAACTACATGTATATACAACATATATATAGCTCCATCTACAAATATACAACCTATAAATAGCTCCATCTACATGTATCTATTCAACCTATATATAGCTCCAACTTCATGTATATACAACCTATACATAGCTCCATCTACATGTATCTATTCAACCTATATATAGCTCCAACTTCATGTATATACAACCTATATCTAGCTCCATCTACATGTATAATACAGTCATATGTCCACTAAGTCATGAGGACCTGCGAAATATTTACCTGGGCCTGGAACATTCTTTAGACTTTTCTTGAGACTGATTTTAAAATGTCTAAGGGAGCCACAACGTAGTTGATAAGACATCATGAACAGCCAATCAAATCGTGTTCGGTGATTCATCAGAATGAGTCCACTTTCTTGTTCTGGCATTGGTTTTCCTGTGATAACAATCTTCACGCCACAGACCTTTTCAACTACAGCCTGAAATGACACCAATGCAACCTTCTATGCAATTTCATAAAAACGTTTAACTATTAAATGTACTACTCAGGGCCCATTCGTTTAAAATGTAATTCATTTATTTATTGTATAAAGACAATTTACCGGGTGAAACCTTGTAATTATGCGTGTGATTTTACTGAACATTAAAATATTTGTTACCGGGTGAAGACTTGTAATTATGCGTGTGATTTTACTGAATATTAAAATATTTGTTACCTTGAAAGTTTTATCTTGTTTAATAGCTGTATTTTAAAAATACACAAAAAGTAGCAATAATCACTAATTTCAAGGATCTCTGGGTTTTTCATATATAATTGCCTCCCTTTAATTTTGTTTTTGGCTATAACTGCAGCAAATTTTAGCAAAGATGCTTCAGTTGACAAGATCGATGGCTCACAGCAGACTGATCAGTCTGTTAAAGCCATAGTATAACAATCTGGAGTCCAGGGTTTGAATATTGGTCTGACCCCTCTGAAATTTTACACTGCTCATGTCTCATAACATTGTTGTTAATTATATTCTGTTTATGTTATCTTCACTATTTTTATTAAAGTCCTGCAAGGGATGGTTTTCTTTTCAGAAGTGATTTATCTAAGCTATAATCATGCCCAAAAAGTCAGTTTCCCATGTGTTGTTACAGTTGTTTGCAGTGGTAAAGGGGATCTCTAAGCTGTATCACCTTTCTATACAATGTACATTACATATTCTATTATTTGTGCCTTGGCCCCTCTAGCTGTGACCTTGAATTTAGTGTTTCATACCTCAGAGATTTTAGATTATGGCTTAATGCAATTTACAAGAATGAAATAAGTTAAAACTACATGCATTGTGTTAATACATTTGTATAAAATAATAACAAATCTGCACCGATACTGATTTTTAAACAATAAAATGAGTGTTACGTTTTTACATCGGTAAGATTGTCACCAGAGGTAAGGAACTCATACCTTTACAGAACGTGCAAAAGAATATTGGCCATAGAATGAGGGTGTTCTCTAACAAATACTTACTTACCAAATTTACAGGCATAAAAAGTATGAAACTGACAATACATTTTTGTAACCAATTGCACTGTTCATATCTGTCAATCACTTGATTATTGATATCTACCTTTATGTACACATTCTGTGTAGATCAGATCATCCAGTTTGGGGTACATGTGTATATATATCTACCTTTATGTACACATTTTGTGTAGATCAGATGATCCAGTTTGGGGTACATGTGTATATATATATATATTCCAAGTCTGATTTAAGTACAGCTAAAATAGGTTGTGCCTTTTCATATTGGTCTTGCCCCATACATACCAGCTAGCTAGCTGGTACATGACTTCTAAGTGATGAAATTCTATCTTTTAGAATCATTAATAAAAAGGGATCATAAAACTGAACATAAGAAATAAAAAACTCTTACAAAATCAAACAAACATAAACAAATATTACAACATTTTCTAAGTTGAAGTAATGCTTATTTACTTGTACAAGTAAGCATTGAACTGCTTTCAGTGGGCATTCCTGTTGGCTATGAATGCCTACTGAATGCTTAAAAGCAGTTCTATAAAATTAATATATTTTAAAGAATTTTAAATGTTTTTAAAAGGTTTTTTTTATCGAAACACAGCCTTTTCTTCCAGGAAGTGTATGTATCATGTATACTTGTTTGATTTTATCTTCATGGGAGGATTGTGGTATCTAACATAACAATTAAGACCTCCTTATAATGATGACATCAACATATGTGGGCCATGGCACTCATAGCTGATATGAATGTCACCTGAACTTGGTAGGATTATATATTGACAGTGCCATAAGGTGGTTAAATATTTGACGAAAGTTATATAAGAGATTGGTTCAATAGTATTGTACACTGTTGCATGAAAAACAATGCAAAGCCTTTCAATATAGGAAGATATGTACAAAGGTAAACTATAACATGGTTATAAGTTAGGTATTACATTTAGCAGAAAGTAACTTTATTTCTGTGATAAGGTCATTGGAATACAATTAATGTGTGTGTACAATAAAACTGCATAACACAGTGTTTTTTCTACTTTCTTTCCACAAGGATATGTGCCTTATGAATTTGAGAAAATATTTCCAACAAAAAGCATGACTTTGGGAAAATAAAGTGATTTTTGCATTGACTTTGGGAGAATAACAGTCATAATTATCTAGGGGAAGGGGCCTTTATAACAATTTATAAAACATCTTTAAAAAGACCCCTCTTAGAAACACCAATTATGTCAATTTAACACCATTTTAAGCCCATTAGGCTTCTAAAGACATATCCTTGTATAAATCAGTTGAACAATCCGGCAACACTAGTATAGTAAGTAGGTAAAAACTTGACAGTTCATATCATGGTGCCAGTGGTTGTTAAGGTGTGACTATAATGAATTAACACTAGATGTAGATATCATGTGTTCCAGTAAACTGTTCCATGTATCCAATACTCTACTGTTAAATCTGTTCCATGTATCCAATACTCTACTGTTAAAACTGTTCCATGTATCCTATACTCTTCTGTTAAAACTGTTCCATGTATCCTATACTCTTCTGTTAAAACTGTTCCATGTATCCAATAGTCTACTGTTAAAACTGTTCCATGAATCCAATACTCTACTGTTAAAACTGTCCCATGTATCCAATACTCTACTGTTCAAACTGTTCCATGTATCCAATACCCTACTGTTAAAACTGTTCCATGTATCCAATACCCTACTGTTAAAACTGTTCCATGTATCCTATACTCTTCTGTTAAAACTGTTCCATGTATCCAACACTCTACTGTTAAATCTGTTCCATGTATCCAATACTCTACTGTTCAAACTGTTCCATGTATCCAATACCCTACTGTTAAAACTGTTCCATGTATCCAATACTCTACTGTTAAATCTGTTCTTTGTTACATTTAACCTTGACCTTGATTTCAAGAGCTTTTTAGTATGGCCTCTGGTAGTTGTAATAAGGGACATTGTGAATAATTTGTCCTTGTCCACAATATCAATATTATCAATTATTCTATATAGTTGTATAACATCTGCTTGTTTCCTCCGGGACTGAAGACTGGTTAATCCTCCGGGACTGAAGACTGGTTAATCCCAGGGATTTAAGACGATCTCTATGTGACATATTGGTTAATCCTATAACTATTTTGGTGCACCTGGCTCTTCTGATCTCTGGACATTTTCAATCCTTATTTGGTCTTTTGTTAACAGTGGATTCCATATACATGAAGCATATTCCAAATGTGGCCTAATGAGAGATTTATACAGACTTAGGGACATCTCGATGAAGGTGAATGATTTGTTTATCAGTACTGTTATACTGTTGGCTTTGGAGACACAGTTACACACATGTTGGCCGAACTTAATTTATTGTTTACTATACATGTGACGCCCAGAACTTTCTTGGAGGCAACTTTAGTAATGAACTCATTGCTGCATATGTTTGCATTTGGTTTTTTTTTCAATTGCATCTTCAAGATCTCTGTCCATTTACAGATGTTGTTCACATCATTTTGAAGCTCTTGAGTGGCATTGGCGGAACATATATACCTTTTATTAACTAGGTATCATCAGCAAATATTAATAGTAAGGATTGGACTTCTTCTGGCATATCGTTTATGAATATCAAAAATAATATCGGTGCGAGAACACTCCCCTGGGGGATACTGCATCAAGTGTGGTCTGGGCACGTCATGCTAATAAAGGACCAGATAGCTATTGGAAATGTCCAGAGAAGAACGTCTAAACTTCTTCCTGGTCTAAAAGACTTGAGCTTCCCAGAAAGATTAAAAGTGTTAGGCCTAGGGCTCCCCACCTTGGAATGTTTGAGGTAGTAAGTTTGAAATGAAAAAAATTGTATATAAATTAGAATTGAGACAGGCCAGCTGGGTAAAAACTAGGGGAATTGACAAAGGCTTAGCAAACCCAAATGTATAAAAAGCATTACCGATAGGGCTCACTGGTTAAGTGATCGAGTTGTAAACAGTTAGAACAATCTCCTTTACTACATGGTTAATGCCCCCTTCTTGTTTCCTTTAGACTTATCAACAAACATTGCATGGTTAAATTAAACCACCCTTGCAAAGTTTGTGCCAATTAAGTTTGAACTAGTTAATGATTTTCCATCTTGCCACTACCAGCTGCTTGTCTATAAAAAGACATTTTAACCTGTTTATTAGTATAACACACTGAATAATTCCTAGATAATCTGCATTCAAATGTACAAATTTAACTTATTGGCCTTAATAGTAGCATCGTGAATAGATTGGGAGCAGATTTTGATTATCTTGGTTAGTACTTTTTTTTACACATGTACATTACACCATAATATGTGGTGTCGTTTTGCATCGACGTAAAATGATGTAAAAAATTATGTTTGGTCAAGGCCAAGGCTTACCAGTCACTTGTGCGACCCAATCTTCAGTATGGTACTTGCGTATGGGACCCCCATACACAACGAAATACAAACAAAATTGAAATGGTTCAGCGACATGCAGCTAGATATGTATGCAATAACTTTCATAACACAAGCAGTGTGTCAGGGATGTTAGAAAATCTCCATTGGCCACTCCTAGCTGAACGTCGTCTAAAAACACGACTTGTAGTATTCTATAAAATTGTCCACTGTCTCATTGCTGTTCCTACACCTGATATCCTCTTTCCTATTGACGGTAGAACCAGAAAATCAAATGATCAAAACTTCAGACATATATCCGCAACAAACAACAACCTTAAATGGTCCTTCTTTCCACGCGCCGTAGTCCAATGGAATGCCCTCCCTGTCCCCATTGTAGACAGTGCTACTGTAGACACCTTCAGAGATCAGCTGACTCTACTCTGTGATGTTTATGTATTGTAAATATGCCTATATTTTACCTGAATAAATATTATTAAAGAAGAAGAGGCTAGTAAAGGAAACTCTGTAGAATAAGATCACCTTAGTGACCATTTATAAACCTGAATGGTCTAGCTATAATTCCTGTAGGAGCTCTATCTAAATCAGAGATTTATAACGATAGAAACTCTATCGTTATAAATCTCTGATTTAGATAGAGTTCCTACAGGAATTAGTCTAGCTAATGATCGGTCACATCGATCCACCAGAAAAAGGTTTATTCAAAAACACATAAAATTGCTTGGAAGTCAGTTATATAATAATCACATAAGAACATGAGCGTAAGTATAATTAAAGTACTTGACTGTATATATATGTAGCCTCCTTACCACGGCATAAACCTGCCACAACCATATCATCTGGTCCAGTAATCGCCTGCCCAGAGCGGGCTGGAAATACACCAGGGGAATCAGGGGCCCGATGAAAAATATGGCTCCTAGGGTACTGCTGTACCCCAGTAATACAATGAAAAGAAACCCTTTAAAGTTCATCCTCTTATCGTGGTTATGCTGAACCTAAAAAAATGAGAAATATGATCATGATGTTTATGAACCATGTACCGGAAGTTTACTTCTGTTATCTCCCATTAAATTTGGGAGTAGTGTGATATCCTGATAAATTACTGACAATTTGTAATTACTCTAAATTTCTAGTCCGGGCGACATTTAAAGGGGATTAGAAAATACCAACTACAGTATATGTATTGAAACTTATGTGTTTAATCAATTCGTTGGTTTTGATCACATCTCTTTTATTTATCCTTGATAGTAAACAAATGAAATGTGTTCTCCTCCTTAGGGAAAGTAGTTTATCAACAGCATGTGCTCCAATATTTCGTTATTTTACTTAGCCAAAACGTCGAAAATATATGTAGTTTAAACCTTATTAGCATTGTTATATAGCTTTTATAATTGGATTTTCTTGGCTGCTTAGAATATTTGATTTAATGACGTAATTAGAATAGGACAGTTTAATCTCATGAGTTTCCGAAAATGGTGTCACATCTATTTATTACATTAGAAAATCAGATTAATTTAATTTTCAAGTGTTAAATATATTCTAAAGCTACAGCAATGTTAAATTATCACAAAAGATATAGTAAACCCATCATCAAATAACCTACCCATTTTATATTTTAAAAAATCAGGCTTTTTAGTTTTTTGGGGAAGATCGCAAAATGTGAGCGATATAATGACACCCGCATTCCAAGATGTCCACTGTATCTTATAACTAAGGTTCCATATACATGTATATATATATATATATGTAGCGTTCATCAGTGCAGTGAAGGAGGAAGTAGCCGCCCTCTTAAACAACACGCAGACAACCAAGGACAATCTGTCACCTCGGGAACGCCAGGCACTCAAATCACTGAAAGATTATTCGGACATTGTCCACAAGCCATCGGACAAAGGCTGTGCATTTGTTATAATGAACAGGGACGACTACATCCAAGAGGCTCATCGGCAACTTTCCAACGAGACATTTTATCGTAAGGTCGATAGTGACCTGACGCACGTACACGCGGCAGCAGGTTTATAATACCATCAACAGAATTTTAGAGAAAGATGATATTGACAACGATACCGCGAAATTCCTGCGCCCCGAAAACCCTCAAGCAGGAAAGTTTTATCTTCTTCCTAAAATTCACAAACATGGGAACCCTGGTAGACCCATCATTAACTCGATCAACCACCCGACGGAGAAAAATTCCCAGTTTGTTGACTTCCACCTCCGACCATTCGTGGAACATTTACCATCCTTTTTAAAAGACATTACAGACTATCTAAACAAAACACCTGACAAGAACTTACCAGAAGGTACCTTGTTAGTTACGATGGACGTCGTTTCCTTCTACACTAACATACCGCATAACGGCGGCATTGCTGCCTGTCGCGAGGCATGGGAACGGCGCAGTACCAAACACCCATCGACTGATAGCCTGGTGGATTTACTGAGACTTGTCCTCACACTTAACAACTTAACATTCAATAAGGATAACCACATACAAGTTAGCGGTACAGCCATGGGTACTAAGATGGTCCCCTCAAATGCCAATGATTTTATGGGACATCTTGAAGCCCAACTTTTAACATCTGCTCCAATTAAGCCATTTAGCTGGTTGAGATTTATCGATAACGTTGAAATCAAATGGACATCGGGTCGGGACAGTTTATTGAGAACGCTAACGCGTTCCACGCCACCATCAAATTCACAGCGGATATCTCCACGGAGAGCAATTCATTTTTGACCACCAGTTCCACTCTGATTGGTGGTAAGGTTAGTACGGACCTCCACTGTAAACCTACTGACACACACCAGTATCTCCACCCATACAGTTGTCACCTCTCGCACACCACGAGAAGCATACCCTATACCTACTCCCAAGCTCTGCGCATCAGGCGTATTATTTCGGAGGACATCATCTTCGAACGTAGATGTTCAGAGTTAAAGGACATCTTCTTGGCAAGGATACAAACCTACTTTGATAGATCGGGAAATAGACAAAGTGAGGGTACTGGACAGGGCAAGTCTGCTTGTATACAAAGTCAGACCCCAAACACAAAGGGTACCTTGTGTAGTCATTTTCCACCCAGACATGCCATCACTTCCATCTATCTTGAAAGAGCACTGGCGCATCATCGAATCTTCAGATCTTTCCAGAGTCTCCTATACTGGCATATCGTAGACCTAAAAACATTACAGATCTTGTGGTAAGCAGCAAGCTACCTACACCTAACCCTGCTGCGGCGAAAGGCTCTTTCAATACCTGTTACAAGAAGGTGTGCAAACTGTGTCCATACACGCGCTCCACAGATACATTTCAATGTACAGTCAACGGCAAAGTGTATCACATACTACAAACACTGACATGCACATCAGTCAATGTGGTGTACCTTATTACCTGCAAAAAAATGCAATTTACAGTACGTGGGCAAGACCTGCTCCCAGCTTAATATCAGAATCAACAACCTGCTCCGTCAAGCAGAACAAACCAGACTTCCCTGTGGCAAGGCATTTTAATATGCCTAGCCACAGTTGGAAAGACATGCAGGTGGTTGCCATAGATCATTGCCCTACATGAGATGAAACGAGACGACGTACGAGAGAACGGTTTTGGATCACCAATCTACAAACCCGCTACCCTCGAGGTATTAACGAACGATAGGCGGTTGCCATCCGCTCGTTTCCTTCCGGGGGCATTTGACCTAATGGTGCATTACTGCACAGTTGGTCTGCTATCTCGCCTGCCTGCTGCTGCATGTCTGTGTGTGTGACCAACAGCCGTTGTCAGATTAATTTTGTAGATTTATACAGTATCTTAGCCATTTCATCTACTTATTCCTCCTGCAACTGTGACTGTTAAATCCACTGCAGTATTGAGAGGCGACTAATGAGGGCAGTACGTAGATAATTGAGATTTTTCACATTTACCGGGCCAGATTCCCACGTGCACATGTTCCACGTTTTTGATATCTCGTCCCTTCTTTCTGGTGCTTAAATTATCTCTCGTTGACTCACTTAATGTGAGAGTGTATCTTGCGCAAGAATAGGTCCTCTACTTATATTAAGTAGTTAAAGAGTTTTTTTCTAGAGGGATTCTTTCCGATTTTGGTTATCATTGGCGGGTCGTCGTTGTGTTTCATTGGGCGAGTCGTCTTAGTGCACTTTCGCTATAGAGCAGAGCGTTCTGATATTCAGATTGTCAGCGGTCAAATGCCCCCTGGAAGGAAAACGAGCGGATGGCAACCGACTATCGTTCGTTAATACCTCGGGGGTAGCGGGTTTGTAGATTGGTGATCCAAAACCGTTCTCTCGTACGTCGTCTCGTCTCATCCCATGTAGGGCAATGATCTATGGCATCTATCGTATATGGATCTACCGTCTATATTACTTCTTTGACCCATATATATATATATATACCACCGTTGTAGAGAAGGGAGTGAAGACAACAGCCAACGTCCGTAGCATGTCACTAACACTGACATGGTGTGAATGGGTATTTTCAGAAACAGCATTAAAGCCCTATACAAACTGGCTAGCATACAACTTATGTTAATATTTTTTCCTGGCTCAGATGTTTACGCGCTGGGGTCGTAATATGGGAGGACATTTTAAACCGGAGTACCTGGAGAAAACCCACGTGTTCGGGTAGGTGAACCCATACCTTTTCACGTCCGATCGGGGGATCGAACCCCGAATGCCTTAGTGATAGGCGAATGCGTTATCCACTGAGCCAACCGACCACCCTCGATATGCTAGTAATATTAGGGAAACCTCAAATGTAAGCGTGCAAACACAAAGGAAACTATAGGCTAATTGTCAAGGTCACCGGTCGTTAAGTAAGCACACCAATGACAAGTGTCAATGTTATCCCCAAGAACATATGCTAATGACAAATGTTAAGATAAAAAAACATACGCATGCAAGTGCCAATGTCATCCTTTATTACAAACATGACTAGGGCCAAACTCATCTCTCATCAAGTACGCATGATAATGTCAAGACTCAAGGTCATCCCCATCAATTCTATGCTCCAATGATGAGGTTCGTGAGCATGTCTCACAACGTAAATAGTCATGGTCATCCCGTCATGTAAACACTCAAGGTCATTCCAATCAAGTCAACATACCAATGGCGAGACTCAAGGTCACCCCCATCAAGTAGAAATACCAGTGACGAGACTCAAGGTCACCCCGCCATGAAAACACACCAATGGCGAGACTCAAGGTCATACCCATCAATTATATATTCCAATGACAAGGTCCATTAGCATTTCTCACAACGCAAATAGTCACGGTCACCCCGCCATGAAAACACACCAATGGCGAGACTCAATGCCATACCCATCAATTATATATTCCAATGGCAAGGTCCATGAGCATTTCTCACAACGCAAATAGTCACGGTCATCCCGTCATGTAAACACACCAATGGCGAGACTCAATGTCATTCCAATCAAGTCAACATACCAATGGCGAGACTCAAGGTCACCCCATCAAGTAGAAATACCAGTGACGAGACTCAAGGTCACTCCGCCATGAAAACACACCAATGGCGAGACTCAAGGTCATACACATCAAGTAAACACACCAATGACGAGATCCAAGATCAGCCTTCTTTAAGTAAACTTTTTCATGACAAGTATTAAGACCATCCGATTCAAAATCAATAAATGACGAGAACCATTGTCATCCCTCATCAAATCCAAAAACCTTTTTTTTGTGAACACGAGTTTTGGTAAACGCATGGAGGAACATCACAGCAGTACCTGCTGGTGTACTAAATAATGCATGCGGGCCTGCGTCAATCAATAGTGGAACTGATTTAAAATCTTGTTCTAATGACATACACAGTTTGGTAAGGATCAGTCACACACTGATACAAGGACTCTAAGCGCACCAAATATAGAAGCAATCTTTCAGAAACATAACAGTGCACGACATTCGTCCCATGGAGGATGTGTATATGTGTATCTAAAGGAGATTGGCTTGATAACGACAAATTCATTTGAGGAAAAAAATACACTGTTTTGTGAATACAAGGACAAGGATTGTTTACCCACGCAGAA